TGTGTGTGTGTGTGTGTGTGTGTGTGTGTGTGTGTGGTGTGAGTGAAGGGTCTGCTATTTAGACAATGCAGTTCTGAACTTGGTATGGAACCCAGGCTGCCTTCAAATGTATAATCCTCCTTCTTAGATCTCCTGAGTGCTAGGATTATAGCTGAGGCTCACCACATCTTATTTAATAGCTTTTTTTTTTTTTAAGAAAACAGTTAAGTTGTTTAATGTATTAAAAACTAATTAACATATATTTAACTATCAGTGTTCAGAACTGGAGTAAGAGGGAGGGAGATATAGGGAGGGAAGGAAAAAAAAGAGAAACAGTCTCACTCAGGAAAAGGACAGTAAATACCCGTGTGTAGGTATGAGCTTCTCAAAAGAAACATGTCACCTTAATGGCTGTTTTCAAAATATAATTTCAAAAAAATGTGAATGGAGATAGTAAAAAACAAAAACCCATCAGAAAATTTAAAATTCCTTATTTTGAACATTTTAAAGGCATGTTTGAATTAATTTTCTCTATAAGTTGATTCACAAATTTGGAATAGAGAAAATATCAGCTAGGACATTTCATTTGCTTTTTTATATAGATTTAATGTGCTATACCCAAAGTCAAACTCTAGTGCTTTGTGTTTATAGAAATAGTTTTATTTCTATAGTTTGACATAGAGAGGAATTAATAGAATCTTTTACTGGCATGATAGAGGCCCCCGAACAAAGCAATATTCTGAATAATGCAAACACAGTATATCTTTAACCCCTTGCCACCTTGATAAAACCTCTTAAATTATGAAATCAATATACCTACACAAAACTGACATATTGTCAGGATAATGGAAACTTTAGATTTTCCAAGTCAGATGTCAGATAAATAACTTTGCCTTTATATAAAGAATTTGCCAACTTGTCCAATTCCTCTGGTTGCAAAGCTTGACCTCAGTAGCTGCTTGTGATTCAGAGAATTCTGAGGCCGTACAAGTAATGACAGTTGGATAATGGGCAGCAATTTAAGGGTGTCATGCTTCACAGAGTCAGCCCATCACAAGTAAAGCTGAGAAATGGTACCCTGTGGCCAGCCAGCCAAATTGAAACTGAAGTGGTAATTGATATCATAGGCTATCACTCTAATGGGATTGTCACCCATTGATCTGAAATATTCATTTTTTAATCATGGGCAAAGAATTGGACAACTTAAAATGACAGCTCTCTATTCTCAAGGCTTGACATCTAGGCACTGACATTGTTCTTTTCAGTTCTACAAATGTGACAGCATTTAATGCAATAGAATCAATGAATGAAGTTTACACATAAAAGGTCAAGTAAGAGGTTTCTTTCTGAGTCTTCTGTTATATTGCACAAGCTGTTGAAACAACTCAGTCAGAAAACAGTTTGGCTTGGAAAAGGCCAGAAAAATAAATAGACTGACAATATGCGATAATTTTTTTTTCAGAGCTGAAACCACATTAGATCTGTAACCAGTCCTTTTTTATTTTTTTTTAATGCTGCTATTTCTCTCCTTTTTCTTTGTCTGATGTCTGACATCTTTGACATTGGATTTGTTTCAACTGTGGTCAGCATAGTTCTTTCTTAGCTAGTGAAATTTTAGACCATTTTGATTTATTTTCTTTGTTTGGTTCTGCTTTTTTCTTTATTTCTGTAGGAAAGAACTCTTGTAGCTCTTCTTGAAGTTGTGACTATAGTAGTAATTTATTTTGAATGATTTAATTGTGTCTCTCAACCTTATTGAGCCATGACTCAAAAATAAAAATTGTATAGATTTAATGTATACAATTTGCTGATCTGTGTATATGTTATGAAAACATTGTAAAATAATCAAGCACTAAACTTGTCTATCCACTTTCATAGTTCCCAGTTTTTGCTAGCATATAGGGTGAGATCGCTCAGCAAATTTCTAATTTCCATCCCATAGTCTTAATTATAGTTGCCATGCTGTAATTAGCTTTCCAGAATAAATTTCTAGAATTTATTACTCCTGAGAAACTAGTACATTGGGCAACTCACCTCTTTTTTCTCTGTTTCTGTCTCTGTTTCTCTGTCTTTCTCTTTTGTTTGCTGTTGTTGTGGTTGGCTTCATTGGGAGTTTGAACCTTTACATTTTGAATATGTTGGTTTGTTGTGTTCATTGGTACTAAAATAATTGTCATTTTTGAAATACAAACAAAAGCTATAGACTGTAGTGAGATGAGGAATCCTTTGGAGATAGCTGATTTTAAAAGTTTTTATAAAACTTTTTTATTGTATGTCTTATCATCTGTATAGATAGAATAGAATATAAAAGTTTACATTTTAGTTCTTATTTTATATATGAAAGTCTGACTTATGACCAAATATCTTTTGAGTGGAAAACAAGGTTTTGGTCTTTTTGCTAAGTTTGCCTTGGGGTGGTAGGAATTTCATAAGGGAGATGGAAGGTTGATACTCAGAAAAATAAGTGTTAGTATACATTTATTACTTTTTTATTTAGAAAGCTTTCACATGTGTATAGGCAGGGCATTTTCCTCTTTTAATTATCACATGTATTTAAGTCAGGTTGTACATATTGGCAGGCTTTTATTTTGGAAGATTTTAAGTTATTTTTGTATTTCATCTTTCTTATCTGTCCAGAGGTAATCAAGTGTTAGTCTATGTCGTTTAGCTCTCAGTGAAATTTTATCTTGGATAAATGACTTGAAACATTCTAAGTTGCTTTGTGAAAATGACAAATTTTTTTATTACATTTAGGAAAAAATTTAAAGTCATCAATTTTTAGTATCTTTTTTACATACTACAAAGTCATAGCCAGATACATCAATTGATATGCATGCAAATGAAGCTTCCAGTTTTTAAATAGTTTTAAGAATGTTGTGTAGGTTCATCCAGAGGCAGATGTACCATTTTTGGTAGATGGACTGCTCAGTGGAAAAGAGATGTGTTACTACATGTTGTATAGCAATTTTTAAATAACAAAACTTAGGTGTCTATGTCAACAAATGGGAGTGTTAACTACAGTTCTTTCATACACTGTTCCGGGGCCTGATGATAGCTTTAGTCTCTAAATGCATAATATGTCATGCTGAATGGATTTATTAATGGTAAGAAGCCATGAATAATTATAAAAGCAGCATGAATATTAAACTTGACCTTTGGCATGGAGTATTTAATACAGTATACTTTGTTCTGTGAGCTTTGTAACTGGGGAGTGAGTATATAGTTGAATTTATAAAATTGTATTAAAAATGAAACGACTATGTCACTGTCACGACTTTGGTTCTGATTGGTTGTATTGTACCTAAATGTACTTGGCAAACCTTTAGAAGAAACAAGAATTGCCCTGTAATCTTACCTAAGGCTTAAATCACTAGTGCATCTTCAGTTCTGAGCTGTAATAGTAACCTCCCTATGAACTGTGAAACTAGCCTGACAAAATACTGTGTAATTTGTAAATAATTTTAGATATTCTTTTATATAAACATTAAGTAGCATTCTATATAACACTGGTTGTATGTGGCAAAAAGATTTTAAATTGTGTTTGCTTTACTTCTATCAAGTGTGCTTTTAACAAATAATCTGGTGGTGGTATGTAAAAATACAATATTCTGTGGTGGTAAGGACATTAGGTTTAAGTGTGTGTGTATGTGTGTGTACATATATGTATACACACACTTCTCATTGTCATGATGCCTAAATGAGTTAAGATGTGTTAAAAATTAAATGATTTATAAAGTTCAGTTAAAATGTAAAGTATTAATATAATCTAGTTGTCTGTAGTCCTTAGTAGTCAAGTTTTTTTCATGATGGGTAGTCTCTGTTGAGAGGTAAGGTGATGAGGTTGAAAACATGAATTTGCAAAAGACAACCTCTAGTAACCCTTATCGCATAGATGACTTCAGATATAAATGAGAGAGGGGCTGCTTCCGGAGATGAAAAATACCTCATGGCCTTCTAAGTCAATTATATATAGTATCTAACTAACGAAAAAGTCTTTTCTACAATTGTACTTAGTAATGAAATTTAAAGTTCCAATTAAGAAAAGAAAGGTAGGTTTAAAGTAAAGTCCTTTGTGTTGACATTAATTTTTTTGTATTGTATTATAGTAATTATTTTAAAATTTTGTTTTGTTCAGCATTTAACTGAAGAAAAACCTGATGGCCTTGTCAATGAAGCTACTAGGTATTCATATTTAAAGCTTATACATTGATTGCTAACCAGCTAGAAAAAAAAGAAGATAAGTAATGTAGAAAGAAATGAAAAAATGACGGTAGTTAAGGCAAACTTATTTTCTCATTCTCCCATACATTATTGCTGTCTATACATCATGGGCTTACAACCAGCATTTTATTTATGCCATTTCTATTTTGGATAAAATGAATGGTGGGCATAGGATTTAAATTATTTTGATGAACTTAGAAGATTTTTAACATTTAGAAGCATTTTTATTCTTGTGCCTCCTTGCAATAGAAGATCGTTAATTTTCTTCCTTAAAAACTACCTCACTCCTCACTGTTACTCAGTACAGAAGAACAAATAGTGAAATACTTTTGACTTGACACTTAAAACAATTTTTAAGTACTTTTATAATTTTAATTGTTTTGTCTATAGACTTACAGGTATTTACGTATTTTCACTAATGAGATGAAGGTTTTGAAACTAAATATGCTGCAGGGCTTAAGCGTGAGACCTCCTAGGTTTGCTATAGATGATCCCGACTTAGAAATTAAACACTGGAGTCAAAATGATTCCTTGTTATCTTGGAGTTTGATAATCAAATTCTTTATTTTAGTTTTTATTAATTACACTTTATTCACTTTGTATCCCCCCATAAACCCCACCCTCCTCCCCTCCTGATCCCATCTTCCCTCCTCCTCCTCCACTCATGCCCCTCCCCAAGTCCGCTGAGTCTTCCTCTCCTTCCTTCTGATCTTAGTCTATCAGATCTCATCAGGAGTGGCTGCATTGTCATCTTCTGCGGCCTGCTAAGGCTGCTCCCCCCTCGGGGAGGTGATCAAAGAGCAGGCCAATCAGATTATGTCAGAGGCAGTCCCTGTTCCCATTACTAGGGAACCCACTTGGACACTAAACTGCCATGGGCTACATCTGTGCAGGGGTTCTAGGTTATCTTCATGCATGGTACTTTTGTAGCCTTTCCTAAATATTGTGGTGTTGTACAATTGTGATTCAAATTAGAATTAATTTAAATGATTGTAACTTTTTTCTCACAAAAGTGGTTATTGTAGAAAATATACATAAGCCAAATAGAAAATATCAGAAAGTTATAACATCCATGGAAAATTAAATAGAAAATCTCCAATTTAAAGATTGTGACTTAATATTTAGAAACATATACATTTTGTCTTTAGCCACATAAAATTAAACAAAAGTAGGATTTTGATATACATTCTGTAGTTATGTAATTTTTTAAATTTTGCTTATGTTCTTTGATTTATACCATAAGAACAGGATTAAAACCTAGTAGTTCAGAGGTTAGAAATTTTTGAAGAATTGAGAAAAATAATCTGTTACATTATGTAGCATTTTATCATTTGAATTATTTAATTGGGACTTCTATGTATCTATTTTATAACAATAATACATATTCATAGTGATGAAGAAGGTATTTACAGAAGATCTTGATGTATTTTTAGAAGTATAGTTTTTTTAAAGCAAACTATATTAATTGAAATTTTTTCTTTATATTTCTTTTTTAAATACAAATAAGAGTGTATGTTTATTTCTAATATTCCAAATCTCCATATTTAACCTGGTTTTATTATCTTTTTTCTTTTTTAATTAATTTATTTTTAATTGATTACAGTTTGTTCACTTTGTATCCAGCTGTAGCCCCCCTCCCTAATCTCTTCCCAATCACACCCTCCCTCTCTCATCTCCTCCTTGTCCCTCCCTAAGTTTACTGATAAGGGAGATCCTCCTTCCCCTTCCCTTTTGCCTTTCTGAGTGAGAACTGATCATCTTACCCAGGGTCTTCCTTCTTGCTTAGCTTCTTTAGGTGTACAGATTTTAGTAAGTTTATTCTATATTATATTTCTTTTTATTTTTAAATAATTTTATACATTCACTTGTATCCCAGCTGTAGCCCCCTTCCTCTTTCCCTCCCAATTCTCACCTCCCTCCCTCCTTCATCTCCTCCCTGCCCCCTTCTGAGTCCACTGATAGGGGAAGTCCTCCTCTCCTTCCATCTGACCCTAGCTTATCAGTATTTTCAGGACTGGCTGCAGTGTCCTTCTCTGTGGCCTAGTAAGGATGCTCCTCCCTCGGAGGGGAGGGGAAGCTCAATGAGCCAGTCACTGAGTTCATGTCAGAAATAATTCTTGTCCCCCTTACTAGGGATCCCACTTGGATACTTAGCTGCCATGGGCTATGTCTGAGCAGGGGTTATAGGTTATATCCATGCATGGTCCTTGGTTGGAGAAACAGTCTCATAGAAGACCCCTGTACCCTGATATATTTGGACCTTGTGGGGCTCCCATCCCCTCTAGGTCATACTAACTCCTCCTTCTTTCATATGATTCCCTGCATTCTGCTGAAGGCTTGGTTATGGGTCTCAGCATCTGCTTTAATACACTGCTAGGTAGAGTCTTCAGGTGCCCTCTGTGGTAGGCTCCTGTCCTGTTACTTGTTTTTTTCCTAGTTCCAATGTCGATCCCCTTTGTCTTTCTATGTGAGTATTGATCATCTTAACCTTGGTCCTCTTTCTTGTTTATCTTCTTTAGGTGTACAGATTTTAGTATGTTTATCCTATTTTATAGGTCTAGTACCCACTAGACCTATATATACTCTAGTGAGTATATACTGTGGGTGTCTTTCTGCTTCTGGGATACCTCACTCAGGATGATCTTTTTCTAGTTCCCACTATTTGCCTGCAGATTTCATGATTTCCTTGTTTTTAATTGCTGAGTAGTATTCCACTGTGTAAATGTACCACAGTTTCTGTATCCATTCCTCCGTTGATGGATATCTGGGTTGTTTCCAGATTCTGGCTATTACAAATAAAGTTGCTACAAACATGGTTGAACAAACATCCTTGTTGTATACTTGAACATATTTTGGATATATGACTAGGAGTGGTATAGCTGGATCTTGAGGAAGCACTATTCCTAATTGTCTGAGAAAGTGCCAGATTGATTTCCATAGTGGTTGTACAAGTTTGCACTCCCACCAGCAGAGGAGTAGGGTTCCCCTTTCTCCACAACCTCTCCAGCATGTGTTGTCACTTGAGGTTTTGATCTTAGCCATTCTGATGGGTATAAGGTAAAATATCAGGTGGTTTTGATTTGCATTTCCCTGATGACTAAGGACATTGAGCATTTCTTTAAGTGTTTCTCTGCCATTTGATATTCCTCTATTGAGAAGTCTCTGTTTAGCTCTGTACCCCATTTTTAATTGGATTACTTGATTTGTGCTTTTTAACTTCTTTGAAAATTATGATAAATTTTTACCAAATAGGCTATCCTTATTCCCATCATAGTGGATACCTAAATTTTATGTTTTTCTTTAACACACACACACACACACACATCATGAACTTATTGTTCTCTGATTAAAAACTCTGGAGGCTTATCTTTATAGGATCAGTAACAAATGCCTTTTGGGTGAGCTTTCAAAGTGATACATGAAGTTCTTCTGTAGAGTGAGTCAGTTGGGAGTAAACTGAGCCCAAGCTGAAATGTTGACTTAAACATATTGTTTCTATATGGTTTTGTGATTTTTTAACGTTTGTCTTCTGACACTTGTTCTTTGCTGTTTTAGGCAAGTTGCTTTGGCAGACATGATTCTCATCAATAAAACAGACTTGGTTTCAGAAGAGGAGCTAAACAAATTAAGAACAACTATCAGGTAAGTTAGTTAGCGCTTGACTACTGTATTTTAAAAGCCAGAAGAAAGAATTTTCAGTGTTTTTACCATAAGGAAATGATAAATGTTGGAGGGGACAAATATGTTTGAGTGAGTGCAGCAGTCTGTATTGAAGTGTCACATGGTACCCCATTATATGTACAGTTTTTACTCCATCATTGTGTACAGTTTTTAATATGTCGCTTAAAAATAAGACTAAACTCAAAAGAACAGAGAAAATTCTAAGTACATTAAATGCCTTCAGATCTCAATTTTAATATGCAAAATAACTTTTCCATGAATATTGCTCTATAGGTTCAAGGTTGACTTGCCTCAAGGATCATTAAAGAACTACATATATAGCTCTTGGCTAACTGACTGTTAACTAAATAGAAATATATAAAATAATTCACTAGCAAACATAATTGCAAAACATAATTCAGAATGTTTAGTCTGATATTCTGGGACCAGTGACTTTTCTTTATAAGTTTTCATTTTGTTTGTCCTTTGACTTTTTTCCTAAGGTCAAGCCTCCTTAACTCCCTAAGCCAGTTAATTCACGTTTTATGTGTGTCTTACCATGTCCCAACTACTATTTTTTTCGTTTGCCAGTTTCTGAGTCCATCCCCTCCTTTATAATATATAATGTTACATACTTCCATTTGTAGAGTCTATTATCTTTTTTCCTTCCATTCCTTAATGAAGTCTTGTTCATACTGTTTCACTTCCCCTCCTTGAGCCCTCCTTGATTTTTTTTTATTTTTTAAAATTTTTTATTAATTACACTTTATTCACTTCGTATCCCCTGTGTAGCTCCCTCCCGAGCCCTCCTTGATTTTGATGGTTTCCTTAGTTGTCAACTGTGCTTTGTCGTGCAGCTTGCTTTATGTCTTCATTGCCTATGCACAAGGCTAATCAAAATAGAATAATATGAATGATAATATGTTATTAACCTATAAAATAACAGTAATTTTGCTGGCTATTTTAGAAGCTCCTATTTCTTTTGAAGCCAAAGATGGACTTTTCAAGTGAGGGTAAACTCCAGACTATGTTTTGAATTATTTTGTAAGATCTAAACTAGGCAATGCCATATATTTCAGTAGTTTTCCTTTTAGGTTACTTTTAGTGACTATAGAGCTTTTTATAATGGATTAGCATTACCATATTTAATATAATTTCTGTTGGCCTCACATCTTGACTATAATACCACTAGTTTATATAGTATATGCTATAAAACTGAATAAAAAATGCATAACTCATCAAGAGATCATTTGTAGTGATTATGATTACAAGAGAAAGAAATTCATACTTTTCCTCTATATTTTTCTCATATTTTAATAATAATATTTTTAGATTTTACTACAGTAAGTAATGTTTGATGTAGAAGGCAGATAGTACTTCATAGTATTTAGGAATATGTATTGAAATCTTCTTTGGTTATAATCTTTGGTCTGTTTCTCACAGTTCTTAGGGGATTATTTAAGCTTCTTAAAATTGTCTGCAAAACATGAATAAAACCTATTTTACAAGTTTGCTTTAAGTACCGAAGCCCTGTGAAAAAGCTGGTAAGCTATGCATAGAGCCTGATGCTTAGCGAGTACTTCCTGAGCTATTAATATAGTTTAGATTTGTTTCTTTGAAGAGAAGATTAAGACTCTTGTTAGTAGTAGATAGTAGTAGTCAGTTTGTAGTCAGTTAGTAGTCCCAAAGTGAGACTTACCTCAGAATCATTGTACATAGGAAGGCTTACCCATGAAAACAAGCAGCACATATTTTGGACATATATCTGTAAAGGAAAGATTGATGGTACAAAAATACATAGGTGTTCACATTGTTTAAAGGAATTAAAAGTTTTTTGTTTTGTTTGTTTGTTTGTTTGTTTGTTTTGTTTTTGGTGTGGTATACAAAGGGAACCACTTTCCTTTATTTTGGTGTTTTGTATTTACCATTCCTACAATGTATATGTGTTAAAATTTGGTTGTCTTGCAAAAGTTTTGAGTATACAAGAACATTAGGAATCTCTACTTCTTATAAATCATCTTTTTTCTTCCTTTACTTTTTGACAGTGCTGGGGTGGGTGTCAAACTTAGGGGTTTTGTGCATACTGGGCAAGCACTGTACCACTGAGCCAAATGCTATGCAAGGATTGTACCACTGAGCCACATCCTTAACCTTTTCCTCAAGTGAAGGATGTTCTATAACTCAGAGTCATACCTAGCCTTCCAGTGGTGTGATAGGCTTTGAGTGACAAGTTCTTTCTCTCTCTTTCTCTTTTGTTGGGGGGGGGGTCGGGTAACAGTTTTTTTAAGTGCACAACTAGATTGTGCCAGGTTTGTGGTTTGAAGAGAAAGAATTCAAAGTAATTTAAAAAAGAAAAAGAAAAGAAAAGGAAAAAATGTAAGTTTGGTTTTCATTTTCAATTTTTACTAGTTCTGGTTACATTTGTGTCTGCTTACTTTTTGTTTTAGGAATGATTGAGTTTTGTGCTTTTAAAAAAAATTACCATTTACTTTCTAACCCTTTCATTTTTTATTTCAGATCAATAAATGGACTGGGAAAAGTTTTAGAAACTCAAAGATCAAGGTACTTTTTAAAGTTATTACTAGGAATAGAGCTGTATGTCAGTTGGGAGATTGTTGTTTAACATGCAGAAGGCCACGGATTTGACCGTAACACTGCATAAATATGCAGTGAACATGCCTGCAGTCTAGCACTTTGAATATAGAGGCAGGGGGCTAAAAGTTCAAGGGCATTCTTGACTATATAGGGAGTTAATTTAAGGACAGGCAGGGCTAAATGAGATGAGGGGAGGGAGAAAATAAAAGGGAAAAAATCTATTACTAATAACAACAACAAATATTAGCCTTTATTTAAAAATAGGTATTAAAAATTCTTAAGTACAGGCATTGGTGATGCACACCTTTAATCCCAGGAGAGAAGCAGAGGCAGGTAGATTTCTGAGTTCAAGGCCAGCCTCGTCTACAAAATGAGTTCTAGGACAGCCAGGGCTACACAGAGAAACCCTGCCTTAAAAAACAAAGGGGCATCTGAGCTGTTTCCAGCTTCTGGTTATTACAAATAAAGCTGCTACAAACATGGTTGAGCAGATGTCCTTGTTGTATACTTGAGCGTCTTTTGCGTATATGCCTAGCAGTGGTATAGCTGGATCTTGAGGAAGCACTATTCCTAATTGTCTGAGACAGCAACAGATTGATTTCCAAAGTGGTTGTATAAGTTTACATTCCCACCAGCAGTGGAGGAGGGTTCCCCTTTCTCCATATCCTCTCCAGCATGTGTTGTCAGTTGAGTTATTCATCTTAGCCATTCTGATGGGTATAAGGTGAAATCTCAGGGTTATTTTGATTTGCATTTCCCTGATGACTAAGGATGTTGAGCATTTCTTTAAGTGTTTCTCTGCCATTTGATATTCCTCTATTGAGAAGTCTCAGTTGAGCTCTGTACCCTCAGTTGAGGAATGGATACAGAAATTGTGGTACGTCTATACAATGGAATATTACTCAGCGATAAAAAACAAGGAAATCCTGCAATTTGCAGGTAAATGGTGGAAACTGAAAAAGATCATCCTGAGTGAGGTATCCCAGAAGCAGAAAGACACACAGGGTATATACTCACTCATAAGTGGATACTAGAAATATAATTTGGATAAACCTACTAAAATCTGTACACCTAAGGAAGCTAATCAGGAAGGAGAACTCTGGCTAAGATGCTCAATCCCCATTCAGAAAGGCAAAAAGGATGGACATTGGAGGAGGGAGAAAACAGGGAATAGGACAGGAACCTACCACAGAGGGCCTCTAAAAAGCTCTACCCTGCAGGGTATCGAGGCAGAGGTTGAGACTCATAGCCAAACTTTGGGCAGAGTACAGGGAATCTTATGAAAGAAGGGGAGATAGAAAGATCTGGAGAGGACAGGAGCTCCACAAGGACAGCGACAGATCCTAAAAGTCTGGGCACAGGGGTCTTTTCTGAGACTGATACTCCAGCCAAGGACCACTCATGGAGATGGCCTGGAACCCCTGCACAGAGGTAGCCTTTGGCAGCTCAGTATCCAAGAGGCTTCTATAGTATTGGGGACAGGGACTGTCTCTGACATGAACTGATTGGCCTGCTCTTTGATCACCTCCCCCTGAGTTGGGAGCAGTCTTACCAGGCCACAGAAGAAAACAATGCAGCCAGTCCTGATGAGACCTGACAGACTAGGATAAGAGGGAAGGGGAGGAGAACCTCCCTTTTCAGTGGACTGGGAGAGGGACACAGGTGGGGAAGAGGGAGAGTGGGATTGGGAGGGGAGGAGGGAGGGAGCTACAGGGAGGATACAAAGCGAATAAACTGTAATTAATAAAAATAATTAAAAAACAAAAAGATAAGTAAATTATGATATAAAGTAAGATCTAAATGTTGTCTGAATGTTCTTTACAAGTTTTCATACTTGTACTTTTGCTAACAACTACAGAGCTATGATAACATAAATCTTGAAAAGCATGCTAAGGAATCTTAATTTAAGACCTTTAAATAGATTTTTAATACGTAAAGCCTTTATGTTGCAGAAAACTTTAACAAAATACATAAAATTTTTATGTTAAAGTTATTAATCCGTCTTTTTAAAAATTTACTTGTTTTATTAATTACAGTTTATTCACTTTGTATCCTAGCTGTAGCCTCCTCCCTTGTTCCCTCCCAATCCCTTCCTTCCTCCTTTATCGCCTCCTATGCCCCTCCCCCAGTCCACTGATAGGGGAGGTCCCCCTCTCCTTCCTTCTGATCCTAGTCTATCAGTTCTCATCAGGATAGGTTGCATTGTCTTCTTCTGTGACCTGGTAAGACCGCACCCCCCTGAGGGGTTGGTGATCAAAGAGTAGGCTACTGAGTTCATGTCAGAGACAGTCCCTGTTCCCATTACTAGGGAACCTACTTGGACACTGAGCTGCCACGGGGTACATCTGTGCAGGGCTTCTAGGTTATTTCCTTGAGTGCAAGGAATCTTATGGAAGAAGGGAGAGATAGAAAAATCTTGAGGGCACAGGAGCTCCACAAGGAGAGAAAAAAAATATCTGGGCACAGGGTCTTTTCTGAGACTGATACTCCAACTAAGGACCATATCTTTTTATTTACATTTTTATAGCTTCTTTTACCCGTAGTTTTGGTCATAAAGATGTGCACAGTCTTTTAAAATAGGTGTACTCTAAAGAAATCATTTGTGAACTGTACTTTTGTTGTTGTTGTCGAATGCTGTCATGACTTCAGAAACCTTCAGTGCAAGGGTATTCTGTTAAGCTCATGTTGTGAACAAGAATGGCTGAGTAGCCAAGTAGACCCCTCTGAGACTTACAGCGGGCCGCCTAGTGCCGCCCAGCCTCTAGTTTAGTCTTCTGTTGTCAAGTGCAGAAGAAGCCTTAGCTGAGGGGCTTGTCTGCAATAGCAAAACTTAGAGGTGTCGACAGACTGCCAGAAGTGTGAGGCAGAGCAGCAGCAGCTGCTTTGAGCATGTATGCAGCTAGAGAATGAATCTGGTATGCATTTGTAGGAGCGACAAATGCCTTTAGTGTGATCCTGCTATAGGCAATGTGAAAGAAAGCAAATGTGCTTCCTGATTTTTCAGTTTCATTGTAGAAACCTGATAATCTAACACATACTTTGAGCCATTCCTCAATATGTCTTTTTCCTATCACAGTCAACATTTTTCTCCTTGATCGTCTTTCTTGACAGACAACTCCATAATACTTAAATTTAGCTTTTTAAGAAACATATCTATCAGTAACTGTGGTTCACAGGTGACAGCATGTATTCAGTTCATTTTTTTTTTCCACTTTGAAATTATCCATGTCCTAGATAAAATTTTCTCTTGATTAGTTTATTATATAATGGTTTTGTTTGTCATTTCTAACATTTGCTCTCTTTCAAGAATACTAATACAGTGCTTCTTACGGATACGTGTGTAAGTGAAGATCTTTATCTTCTCTTTCTTCAGTATCTGCTATTGGTAGTGAATCTGAGACTCATGTCCTTGCTGGGAACATAGGAATTGAATTAGAGACCTTCTCCATGAAGATCAGATATCTGTAGAAATCTTATTATTAGGTTATGAATCATATATTAAGTATTTTCTCAAATTCCTAGAGACAAACAGCAACTTGCGCTTGCCACTTTAGAAACTATAGATTTAGTTCTTAGCAAAATTGGAGTCATTTATTTTTAACATTTTAATCCCATTAGTATTTTGAGGTTCACAAAAACTGCCAAAAATAAAAGTGCCATAAGCACACATAAGCAAAGGCTTACCTTGACTTTGTAAAACAGGAGTAAGAATCCTGTTTGGTATTGTCTTACTGGCAAGGTTTAAGCCGATTGGCAGGCAAATACAACTTCTGAGGTACTGATAGACTTCAGAAGTAGGAGGGAAGGTTACAAGGCATGCATTCTTACATTTTCTGGACTTTTTAAGATTTTTAGAGATTCAAGTGAATTGAACAGATGAAAATAAAAACACAGCTGGTCAATAAGTTGACCATTTCAATTTTTCACTGGTTCTAGGCATTGCAGGGTGGGTTCAGGCATTAAGCAACAGGTAAAACAAAAGTACTTTTAAGATACTGGGAAACATTTAGGGGAAAACTGAGAAGTGAACAAGCAAAAAGCAATACCTTAGATATTATTAATGCATCATAAGAGAAATACTAACTGCACAGAGTTCTGCAAGCATAAGAAGATGGAGGAATGACCATTTTTTTTTTTTTTTCTTCTGATAGACTGTCAGGAAAACTTAACTAGGAAATGATCATTGATTAGTCTTGAATGGATGGTTTTCCCAAATGGTCTGGAGTATAGATGATTTACCAGGTGTACAGAAGCATTAATATTTCAGGGATAATATTTAAAATGACTAGACCACATGGGTGCATATAGCTGAGAGGAAAGCTATATGAGTCTTACAAAGGACCACGAATGCCATGATACATAGGATTTTCTCCAGTAGACAACACAGAGTAACTGAAAGATTTAAAAGCAGTGAGACAAATGAGGGGTAGATTCACTGTGGCCTAGTGTCTGAATTTTCGGACATACAGAAAAGTTGGAAAGACAGATGAAATGAGACAGAAGTGAGTTTAAGAAAGGTGATGAATCCGATTTTATAATCACTAGATTTTTATAATCACTACTTTTATAATCACTAGAGTTTTCGATCCTCTCAGGAAAACATTTGGAAATTTAATGCTAGAATTTAGCACAAAGTTTTTAGAAATAACAGTAACCATATAGACCAGGTGAACCCTGTAGAGAGACTCATTGAATTTTATTTTTTAATTAATTAATTTTTTTATTAATTACAGTTTATTCACTTTGTATCCCAGCTGTAGCCCCCTTCCTCATCCCCTCCCAGTCCCACCCTCCCTCTCTCATCTCCTTCCATGCCCCTCCCCAAGCCCACTGATAGCGGAGGTCCTCCTCCCCTTCTCTCTGACCCTAACCTATCAGGTCTCATCAGGACTGGCTGCATTGTCTTCCTCTGTGGCCTGGTAAGGCTGCTTCCCACTCAAGGGGAGGTGATCAAAGAGCTAGTCACT